CATGGCAGGGGGTCGGACTAGATGATTTGTCTAGGTCCCTTCCGACTTATTGATTCTATGATTCTGTGACCCTAACATCTATGAATCTGTAAGTAGGAGTTACTTATGTGAAAGCTGACAGCCATCTATTTAAAGTTGCTTTTTAACATATCCTTTCTCTTTGCTTTAGATGTTGTCCTTCATGTATGCCCATCTGACTTTCTTCCACCAAGGCTATGATCTCTTCAGTGAACTGGGGCCCTACATGAAAGATCTTGGAGCCCAGGTAACGCAACAAAGTACAATCCTGCAGTAAAGTACATTTTAATGTATGTTTGGGAATAATACGAGGGAAAATAGGCAGTCACTGTAACAGTTCCTTAATGGGGTACAAACACTTGATTCAATATGGATGTACCAAGATGTTTGCTAGCATGTCTTTGTAAGGTAATTGGCATGTTATGAGGGGTGAAAAGCTGAGTCTGCCCCAAATAACTGGCATACTATTTTATCAGTAGAAACCAGTGATGTCCAACCTTCTTGTTCCATGTGCTGGATAAGGGGTACCAGCTTAGTCCCTGGGCCAGATCCAGTGTCCTGGGTGGACACACCTGAGCCAGATCTAGCGTAGGGGCTGGGGGTTAAGCACCCTTGGTATACACTGATTCCTTGTCATTGAAATCTGTAGGGCTGGCAAATGACTGGTGTTGTTTTGTTCAGTATAGATGACTGCTCGCTTTAGCTGTGGACCTCTGCATGGTGGACCTGTAGTAGTGGGTCAGGCATAACAGTGCAGTTAGAAACATAAACAGATCATTTGGAACCTTTTAAATTTAAATAAATATTGGAAAAACTAGCTTCAGGTATCAAATACCCCTCCATTTTTTTGCAATTGGTGTCACAATTTCACTACTTTTATTTTCCATTTTAATTTGTAAATGTTTCTGAAATGAGGGCCTCATTCAGACAGGAGCATTGAGTACAATTCACTCTGCAGAGGGACAAGGCAAAGCGGCATACATAAGACTTTGAAGAGCACAGGGTACACGACATGGAGGCTCGCCTGCAATGTGGTGTTTACCCAAGCCATGTGATCTGTTGGTGTAGACATGCTGTCCTGTTGCAGAAAGTGACTTGTGGCAGTGTGGTTTAACTTGGTGTTGGCACCAGAGAGCTGTGTTGGTGTTTCTTTTGCTCTATCATCACTGGTGAGGCCTTGCCTGGAGTACTGTGTCCAGGTTTGGGCCCTGCACTTCTAGAAAGGTATGGACAGCTTGTAAAGACTTCAACAGAGAGCAACTGGGACGCCGACTTATTAAGAAAGGCTGAAAGAACTAGGGTTACGTACTCTTGAGAAGAGACGACTGAGAAGAGTTTGATAAGTCATTGGATACCTGAAGGGCAAATACAGAGAGGATGAAGATGGGCCTTTCCATAGGGAACAGGACTAGGATCAGTAGACTCCAGCTACAAGAGAGGAAATTAGGTTGGAGATGAGAAGAAACTTTCTGATTGCGAGGGTGGTCAAACACTGGAAAAGGCTGCCTAGAGAAGCTGTGGAATCTCCATCCCTGGACATTTTCTAGACAGGATGGTTGGATACTTGGCTGGACCGGTTTAGTTGGGGCTGATCCTGCCTTGAGCAAGGACCTGGACTACATGGCCTTGTGAGGTCCCTTCCAGCCCTACTATCCTATGATGCAATGACTTATATTTTATGTCAGTTTGGGGCCTTTGATGCTTTGTAGCAGAACAACTGCACTGATGCCAAAATTAAAGTGAAAGGGAAAAAATAGAGGGATGCTATAAGATGTGAACAAGTAGATTTTTTTTTTGCCTGATTTCTCCTGCTTTATAAAACTACCATAGGAGTGGCAGGTAACAATTGTGGATACAAGGTTCAGACCAGTGTGTGATCTTTTTTTCAGTTGAGAGGATCCCTTTTAAATTTTGCTTTCATGCTTTTCTATATTATTTCTGGGACCTTCATGTTGTTCTATCACAGGTTTTATTCATGTGATTTTTTTCCTGTTTCTTCACAGGAGGAGTGGCGGCAGGGGGAAGGAAGGGGAAGAAATTTGCTACCTTTTAATTGCAGTTTTAAATTGTCCTAGTTAGGTTTGAAGCTTCCAATTCAATTAGGTTAATGAGGATGGTCAAGTTGCCACTTTTGCTGCTGATATTTGGTTAATGATGCCTGCTGTAAGGTTGTTAACAGGGCAGCTTCACATCTTGTTACAGTACCGTGTTACAATGTCTGCATGTTGGCAGCTGGGGGAAACAGCTATTTTATCGCTTGTCTAGTATAGATCATAGTTGCAGCAAAGCCCGAGGAAAGAATGTAGAAGTGCTGCAGTTTCCCTCCATCTGTTATCTTATTCTGTTTCAAGTGTTAAAGAAATGAATATTTTTTCTTTGTAGGAATAAGCTTGTTGAGTTTCAGTGAGATATTTAAAATAGCCATTTTTCAGTTTGCATTAGTAGAAGCCCCTTTGAAAGGTCAGAGAGAATGCATTGGCATTCCTAAATGAACAGAGGTTTCATTAGCTCTCTGGAAGACATTAGCAGATACCTACTAATCATGCTTATCAGTGAATTTTCAATTGCTTGCCACCAATTTGATGCAAAGTGGATACTATTTATAGGTTGATTTTCAAGGTTAGCTAACTTCTAATTATCTGCAGGATAAAAATGGCAGGCTTTTCAGTGGGAAACATGTAAATGTCAGGAACTTGCTGTCTGAATGGATTTTCCTTATGCTTTCAACAATAGCATCACCTTTCAGTTGATAGCAGGAATGGGAAATTTGAAAGCCAATAAAAATTTTTATTTTATAGAGCGCTTTTGAGTGTTTGACTTTAAGTATAGGGTTTTGGCAGCCCCTTTGATAAAATTGATAGACATATTAAATATTTTTCATGATGTCACTCTGGTAGTGTGTTTCTTATGTGTCACCTAGCTAGCACAGTGAAATGAGGCTGACCTGTTTCACCTTCGAGTTATCCTGTCCCAGAACAATATCACTCTATGAATTTACAAAATTGCAGCAAAATGCTAGTAATGACTAGTACTGATGTGGTGTTTCTGTCAATATTAGATTTTCTAGCTGCATGTCGTCTTAAAATTTAAAACAAACATTGGAATGTGACTGTTTTGAAAACTTAGTAAACGAGGCAAGCACGTTTAGTTCCCTTTAACAGTAAAATAATCAAATATAAACAGAACATTATGAAACAGAATATCCTGTGTCATTTGAAGACTGTACAGTAGTGGCACAAGGTCTGGGACATGGTTTGTGGTGGTTCAGTCGTGCTATTAGTCATCACCTGTTCAAGTCATTTCACGGCTTGCCACTGCCTTGAGTGGGAAACAAGCAGAAGGAACTTTCCCTCCTGCTAGCTGACACCAACCCAGACATAGTAGGGCTCACTGAAGCATGGTGGGACCCAACACATGACTGGGCGGTGAATATCGAGGGCTATAGGCTGTACAGGAGGGACAGGATAGGAAGGAAAGGTGTGGGTGTGGCGCTGTACATTAAGGAGGAATACACATCCTCATCAATTAGCACAGAGTCAGAGGAGAGGCACTCTGAAGTGCTCTGGGTTAGAATACAAGGCAGTCGAGGGGAAAGAGACTTAACGGTGGGGGTCTACTACAGACCTCCCAACCAAGGGGAAGAGCTAGACCAGGAATTCTTAAGTCGGCTCATGGAGGTAGTTAGGTCAAAGGACATGGTCATCATGGGGGACCTGAACTTTCCAGACATCTGCTGGGAAGAGCAGTCAGTCAGGTCTGACCGATCACGTAGGTTCCTAGCCCAAACGCAGGACCTCCATCTAACCCAGGAGGTGCACAGCCCCACCAGGGGAGACGCCTTGTTGGACCTGGTGATGGCCACAGGGACAACCTGGTGAGGGGGCTGTGGGTGCTCGACCACCTGGACAACAGCGATCATTGCCTGCTGGGATTCACCATCCAGCGCAAGGTGGCGAAGGCCTACAGCAAGGCAGCAGCCAGTGACTTAATCTCTGGGCCACCCGGGGTGATGGAGGAGGTAGCTGTAGTGCTTCCATTCAGGCACGAGACTCTCCTGCCCTGGGGAAATCTCAAGTGGGGAGTTGCGTCCACTCTCTGCTGCCTTTGCATTTCCAGAGTGATGGAAAGTAACAGTGGAGCTGAGGTTTTCACCCATGGTAATTGGATCAAATCAGTGTGTAGGGAGGGATTCTGCCAGTCATATCATGCCTTTTACCAGGGGTGCTCAACCTCCAGCCTGTGGACCAAACATGGCCTATGGAGCCTTGTATCTGGATTGGGCCTAGGCTGCTCTTCTCCCTCTGTAGAGCTGGACGGGGCCCCACTGTGCCTGCCCTGGGCTCTGGGTTGGGTCTACCAACCAGATCTGGCCCATGGAGGCTATTCAGCCTGTTGGAGCAAAAGGTTGAGCACCACTGCCCTTACCCGTCTGTAGCTTCCACTGGAGAGCCACAGCCCTGCCTTGCATCAGGCAGCCTTGTTAACCCTTGCTGGGGCAAGGCAAGGCCTGCATCACCAATATGGAGTAGCAGGTCAAACCCCTCTGCACTGCCATCTCTGAGTCCTTTGCATCTTACTGGTGGTCCAAGTGGGGAAGGCTCATAGTTCAGGTGGGGGAACAGGCCCAGATGACCATCTTCATTTGCGTAGACTGCTGAGAGACTTCATTTTTCAACAGCATCTGGAATGTTGTCTAGCAGACTATCCTGCCTAGGCATCTGTTGGCTACTTCCTATCCTCTGACGTCCCCATCTCACAACACTTTTTAATAAGTTGCTTTTTCGCAGACATGTCTTCAAGTAAGTCTGGGTAAAATGCTTGTACTTATCAGTTATAATTTTACAATATCCTTTAATCCTGCTGGTATCTTCTTATGACAGTCTGACCAATGCAAGTTTGAAATAGTTATGCTTTTACAGACTCAGCATAAAAAACAACTCCTCTAGGCTGTGGCACTGTCTCTAACATTCAATGTGCTGTTACACAGTGCCTGAAAGAGCCTGAAGAGCTGTGAACCTTGTTTCAAATGCTGTCAGTGAGCCTGTGATAGCTGTTAGGATAAAAGCTTAGCTGGGCCCACACCTTCCCTGTGGAGGAAAAATTGCCAGCATTCGCTTGTTCTGGCTTTCTTTGCTTATGCCAGTAGTGCTGCATGGGCCAGCCAGCAAGAGCAGCTAAAGCATGAGTCATTCCTTTCTTCAGAAACTGAACATGTCATTGGTGCGGTGTACCATTCGCACAGTCCTGGCACCATAATACTATTTTTTGAAATATTTTTCTTAAAGCCTAGAGGAAACGTTCACCTTTCACAGAGGTTTTGTATTAGGAAGACTTGTCTGGTTAATTTAGGATGGCAGTGCGATGCTTTTGACAGGATATATTTGTTAGTAAAGGTAAAGCTTTGTGATAAGGGAAGTGATTTTGCTATGTAAATAAAACAAAAATCATGCAGTGTCTAGACGTAATGTATTTTTTCTATTAGTATTACAAAGTCTAAAGAGCCACATTTCTCTTTCTTTTTACAGCTGGATCGCTTGGCTGTAGATGCTGCAAAGGAGAAGAGAGATATGGAACAAAAACACTCCACTATTCAGCAAAAGGTACTTGAAGGACTGTAAAAGAGAGGGAGAGGGGCTGCACCACTCGTTGATCTATTCGTTTGGTGTGCCTCTGCAGCAGAGCAGCACTGCAATACAACAGCTAGAAGCAGTGTCCTTAGAGTGCAGTGACACAGAATTACGGATCAGTAAGTGGGGCGTTGGTTTGCAGATGTTGAGATAGTATTACCAGACAAGTCCATAATTATATTTCACTCTTCTAGTGAATTAAAGCATTTGGATGCTGAGACAGCTCATTTATTAGGCACCAGACATTTTGGAGTCATCAAGTCATAGTTATCCTCTTGCTTTCTATAACTATTGTAGTCAAATATTTATTTATAGAACGGGTATCCCATATGGCCTTCTAAATGCATGTTTTACTTAGTTTCTGAACTTGGCCCAAATGTATCAGTACAGTATTATGGGGTTAAGAGCTGTAGCTACCTTTGCAGATAAACAGAGAGAGCCTACTATGAAAGTGGGATTTTATTTGTTTGAAATATACAAGAATTTGAAAACTACCCAGTAACTGTGCATGGTTTCATTGGCAAATTCATCACTATGCTCACTTTTGCTTTTTAGCATGCTAGGAAAATTACAGATGTTTCAGGGGTTTGGATAGTACTGATGCTCTTTGTCAACATTGATTGTACAGTTGTAATAGAGGGTAAACGTTTGCTAGTGGAATCTCTGGTTATGAACTAATGAATGTAGCTATGGAAGAACTGTAATTGGACTGTGGTTTAAAGATCCCAGAATACTTCTTATTCTCTCACAAATCGGCTTTTGAATAGGATTTGAGAAGGTGTCATAGATTGGAACAGTCATGAGGTAAGTGACTCAAAAAAGGGCATTTATTGACAAAAAACATGCTGGGAGTAGGATAAAAATCCTATTCTGGGATAGGTTAGTACTTGGATACTAACAGGCCGTTGGAGAATAGCAAAGCATGCCCGGGATTGATACTGCCCTAAGATTACATATCTTTAATTGATTATGGAAGGCACAAGTTATGTGACCCATTACCAGGAATTATAGCAATTGCTGTAGCCTGCTGACCTGATTGCTTTGTTTTTCCTTGAATGCTGCAAAAGGCTGCATTACAGGTAAATGATTTCTAATAAAATCTGTCATTACTGAGAGAGAAATTCAGAAGTAATGGAAACCTGATCAATTGGAATAAAAAAAACACTTACTGCTTTTCACATATTTTGCACAGCCATTTTAAAATTGTCCACAAATTGTGTGAAAATTTATTTCGTTCCTTAAGTCATCTAATTAGTTCAACATTTATTAATAAATGTTAAAAAAACTAAGACACTGACAGTAAGTAAATTCAGTGAAGGACAAAGTTGGCAGGATCACCCTTATCCAAACCATCCCATACAAATCCTTGTCTGACCTACTACTAAAACTACTCAGCAGCTGCCAAAAAAGCAAACAACGTGTTAGGGATTATTAAGAAAGGAATTGTAAACAAAACAGAAGTATCTTGGTGCCCCTTTATAAATCTGCAGTGTCTGCACCTTGAGGACTATGCCCAGTTCTGGTCCCCACGCCTCAGAAAGGACATAGAAGAACTAGACAAGGTCCAGAGAAGGGCAGTAAGGATGATGAGTGGCATGGAGGGGCTTCCATATGAGGAGACACCAAAGAGGCCAGGCCTATTCAGTTTAGAAAAGGGATGCGCAGGGGGAGATATGAGAAGAGTTTACAAAATACTAAATGGTGAAGAAAAAGTCAATAGGGATTTACTGTTTACAGTCTCTCACAATATAAGAACTAGGGGTCACAAAATGAAACTCGTAGGTAGTAAGTTTAAAACTAGTAAGAGGAAGTTCTTTTTCACACAGTGTCATTTCATTAAAGTGTGGAACTCCTTGCAACCAGATGCAGTGGAAGCTGACAGTTTTTAGTCAGATTCAAAAAGGGGTTGGACAAATTATTGGAGGAAAGGGACATCAGCAGCTCTTGAGCATGGGAGCTAGGGATACAGCCTCTGAATCAGAACTTCCTAGACTTTCAGTGCTGGAGGCGGCAAGGGAGAGAGAGAAACAGTGGAAACAGCCCTGGGGAGAACCAGTTCACTCTTCCTCTCAGCATCCACTCTCTGCCGCTGTGCGACAGGAACCTGGGCAGCATGGACCTGTGGTCTGACCCAGTACATGACAGTTCTTATGTAGGCAGTCGACTCCATCGCACAACCTAATCTGCCGTGGGTAAAGCCGAGGGACAGTGGTGCTCAGTATCTTGCTGCTGTGGGGGTTGCTCAAGCATGCCTGGCAGACCTCGTGTTGGATACTACTGGGGATATTTGGTACCACAGCAGAGAAGCTGAGAGAGATGAATGCAGACAGCACAACTACTTGGGACACTTGGAAAAGAGAAAATTCTGTCTGTGGATGCACTGTGTGACCGTTACCAAACAGCTCGGTTCAGTGCTTAGACTGGCAGTTGGGAGCAGAAAGAAAACCAGGGAGACTGAGAAGAAGCCAGCTCTGGAAGTGTTGCAGGATGGTGTAGTATTAAAAGAAGAGTGGATGTGTCACAGCTTTGCCATGACCACAAAAGATGGAAGGTGGTGATCAATGCACCCTGAATCAGGGATGTCAGCTGAAAGGGAAGATGAATTATTTAATTACTTGATAATGTCACCTGGCCTGCACGGACTCCTGGCTGTAACTCCAGGTGTTGGTTTTGCTCTGTTGAGCACTGTGGTTTTGTTCCTCTTTATGCGAGGGAGTGGAACCGATGGCCCCAGAGGCCCTTCTCACTCCTGTGTTCCTATTAGGCATCTCTTGTCCTCCTTGTTAGTTATCAGTGTCAGTGTAGATGGTCCCAGCTGAGCTTGAAGAAGGTGACCTGGCGCTAGACCCTCATTTTGAGCTGCCACTGCCAAAATCTCCCCTTTCATTTCTCATTTGGGTCACGTAACTCCCTTTTTCAGATCCTCCGTCTTGCCTGTACACCATGTTCCTGGGTTTGTGTGGCAAAAATAGCCTTCTGGCTTAAAGTATAGATCTTGTCTTCTGTTGCGTCTCTTCACCCAGCTGTTCATTCCTCTCCTTCTCTCATGCCACCATCCTACCTTCTTCCATGCTGTCCCTGAGGCTTCTGCCCTCTCAGTCCCTCTGCCCCGCACTGCCTTCTCCCACAGGCAAGACACGTAATGTAACGGCACTCGAGCGGACCTTTCCAAGTGCCAGTCCAAAGCTTTGTCTGTTCTGATTAGTCGAAAGCTAATTTCTTCTTAAACAAAAACTAATTAGTAAATAAAGACTGTTACATTACTTTCAGTCTTTTGCCAAACTGCACATGCTTAAGATGGATAACATTCTTAATTACATGAAGTGACTGGATTTATGAACATGTGATTCTCCTATGCAGTACTCTGGAAAAAGCTGGATGTATTTTTTCCTCAAGTTGTTGTGATTCATTAAACACTTTTCCATCTGCCTGGATAAAAATAAATTACAATAACTTGACCACTTTTTCCCTCTTTGTTTTATTATGCAATACAAGAAACATTAAAGACCATATTCTGTTTGCCAGTTGCCTTTTCTGGAGCTATCTTGTTGCCTTGCCTACCCCCTCTAGATCCTCCACCTCCATCAATGAAGTACTATGGATAAAGCATATAGAAGCCTTTGATTTCCCACTCCCAGCCCCCTTTTTTTGGCTTTCCCTTAAAGTTTGAACTTTGACTCATAAGTAAATGACCTGCAGTAAAGTCTGTGATGTGTTGTGAGTAGTTAGGAAAGTATTACACTTCTGCTTGTGCATACTCTTCTCTCTCAACCTGCTGTATAAGGTTGCAAGTCAGTTCAGCTAATAAGATCAGCAACAATATTGTGCGTGCTTGAGGAAGAAGTCATTACTTCAGTTGATTTGAATTGAATTAGGAGCAACGTAAGGAGAACGCCGTTAAGTGATCTACATTTGCACAATGCTTCAAAGACACCTTAAACCTAGTGGATCACATTTCACTGAACAAGATAATTGCGGTTTCTGAAACAACACTGTGAGCTCAGAGAAAACTGATGTACCTCACTCTTGGATGGGCAGAAAGTGTCTCAAGGAAGTGTACTCTTTCCTCGGACAAGAAGCTGTGGTGATTACTTAAGGACTGGAAAATGCAGCTGTTTAGCAGGTTTCATTATGTTTGGGAGCTGGTAAGTTTGAGCAAGGAAATAAAACCTGTATTTGTTTTTCCTTAAATTTTGGAAGACAAATACTAGTTCAACAAATGTCAGAGCTGCCTGAAAGACTATAGCAGGGTAAAAATTCCATGAAAATTCTTTGTCGAACACTTACTTGCTAAAATATCTGTGTGTGTGTGTGTGTGTGTGGTCTTTTACCCTGATAGATAGATAGATTAGGTAGATATAGTGTAAGTATTCTTTATAGTAAAATGGTATTTTTGAAATGTGCAATATTATATTAAATCTCAGCAATATTCATCTGCTGAGTTGGAGAACAGACAGCAAAATATGAAGGTTACAAGTGCTGGGGAAGAAAGAAAAGAATGCCACATGGCTGAATTTGGGGTCTTATAAGCGTTGAGTTCTAAACCCTTTGTTGTAGGTCTGTTGATAAGCCCATATGAAACATGAATGCTAAAGTTTGGAGAAGATGTTTTTACTTTTACTGTAAGTGCTTGCTGTCATATTCACAGCTATTGCCCTGGATGACTATTTTAAGCATAGTATTTAACCTATTAAATTGTGAAGAGCTGAGAGAAATATTGTGTGTGCCACTACTGAATAGTTTACTACCCAAGTCCAAGCTTATATGGCCTTGATATTTGTATCCATTCATAAAAGGCCTGTATGAACTGTGCTAATTGTCCTGTTGCTTTATGATTGATCCTTTGTTATATTATCTCGGGTTTCTTGAAATCATAGGGCAGAATGGCATTCCCTTTGGAGGCCTATGTTAATCAGTAGCAGCAATCATGTGGTCCGACTCGTTTTTTCTATCTTTTATCACATACTTCCACACACAGTTTTTGTATTTGTTTAACTGTTTTTGTTAGGAGTTCATTATTTTAACTGTAAAACAGCTAAAGCAGTTCAGCACCCTAGCCTGGGTACAGTTATGCTGTTATAAAGATACCTCATGCTGCCATAACTTTCTCCTCTAAATACCTGAGAATAAGGTATAGTACTCTAAGCACACTTATACTGAAGCCTGTACTTTTATACTGAAATAACTTGTGTCCAGCAGATTAGGAGTTGTTTGGCTTTACCTATACTAGATTCATCTTGGAAGACAGCAGGGCAGGATGGTGTCTTGGAGACTAACTTGTTCAGAAATTCATGGGCTTCTGTAGGCCTTCTGCCTAACTTTTAGACCAACACAGCTACCTACCTGTCTCTGCTTGGTTTCAAACTGGTAGAATTAAAATAGTACAGAAACTATAGATAGACAAGCTTCTGCAGATCAGAGGTTTAAAGACTAGTCCCTCTCTGTTACATGACTGTAAATGACAACTACTAAAAACTAGCATGGTCTGAATTCTTCACCTTCCATGAGAAGTATCTGTGCAAGTTTGTCACTCTTGCCTTCCTTCACTAGTGACTGACTGAACTTAAGTCATTTTGATTACAAACCCTTATTTTCAGTGCCTAATGCATTCTGCCCCAGGTAAGAAGAAAAAGATATTGCTAGTCAGCTTTTTTCCCATAGCTAATTTAAATAAAAAAAAGAAAAAAAAAAGATCAGCAGTCTTAAGCAACTGAATGTATTGTCCCTTGAGCCCTGTGCATCTGAAATCGCACCGTGTATACATGTGAATACCTCCCTGGTAGAAGGTAACCCATCATGCACAAGGAATATCCAGGAGCCCATGGCAAGATTTCAACTGCTTGCCAAAGAAATGGGTATACGTAGCTCCTGGAAGATTAGGACCAGCAAACCACCACCTGCATGCTACTAAGTAATCATCAGTGCTTCCTTCGTGCAAGTGACCATACCAGCCTTCCTAAAAACCCCAACAGAGATGCTTTCTATTGGCCTGTCTTCATCCTCCCATTCCTAGGCAAAATTACTGAGAAAAGTGACAGCCCAGCTTCAACATCATATTTGTGCCATCCTGGGTGCTTTGCAGCTGGCTTCAGACCAAGATGCAGCATGGGAACAGCACTAGGAGTAGGACATTAAAGAGGCTGTCTTTTCTGGTGGTGGATGGAGGCTACACTTCACTGTGATTGATTGATTGTTTAACTGCAGCTCTGACTTTGGACACAGCTGGTGTTTGATGGCAGAGATGGAGGGAGTTCAGCTCTGTATTGGCTCCAAGCATTCCTCTCACAGGATGGAAGAAAGTGGACAACTTTTCTTTCCTTCTGACTGCCACAACACTCCCTGTGGATCTGAGAATCCCTCATTTAGTGTCTGTACAAGATATCAGGCATGGTGAAGCAGCAGGTTCCCTACCACAAGTGAGGTGGTGGCACTTGCATATTCCTCTTTCTCCAGAAGGGTAGCCAGTGCCTGTGTACACCTGTCCTGTCTGCAGGGAGTCAGTTCCTAAATGAAGATCAGGTAGTTTGTGGCAAGTCAGAAGGGCTGGCAGTCAAGCTTGGGTTAGGGTTAAGTTTATAACAGATTTATAATTGTCAGTGCACAGAATCTAATTATTGGGGAGATCGCCTTACCTTGGAAGTTGTCTTGGATTTGGGTAAATATGGTGATTTATGATTCTTTCCTCAAGTGGCTGGAGTTCTGACTGGTAAAATGCCATCTCTCTGTGTTTAATTACATGATGTAATTACAGCTGTTGAATTTTGTGAAATAGAAGAGACTTAAGTAAGGCCTTTCCTGAAAATCCATTTTCTTAATGTAATGTATGGGCCTTATAGTCCTAAAAGAATCAGTAAGTATTGCATGCAAGGTGCTGTTATGAGGTCCCTGCACAAATTTGAAATGATTGTTGTCAGTGTTTGAGCTGCATTTGAAACTTGCATCTTTTTTTTAACACTAGGATTTCTCCAGTGATGACACTAAGCTAGAATACAATGTAGATGCAGCCAATGGCATTGTTATGGAGGGATATCTCTTTAAGCGAGCCAGCAATGCCTTCAAGACTTGGAACAGGTAAATACTTCAAATGCTCTGTTAATTATGGTTTGTAACCATGCTGGTTATTGGTTTCAGTGTAGCTTGGACTTCTAACTTTGCAAATTCATCCCAAAAGGCAACTCTGTGGAATTGATAAGTTGACAGAGTGGTTGGCTTGTTAAGTTGATCACCAGGGATCCTGGTTTTCTCTGCTAAACAATTACAAATTATCTGATTTAAAAAAAAATAAATCACAAATGGAAAACCCAGATTCCTGTTAATCACAGAAACTGCCCTCAGTCTGAAGAAATTTTTTCTTGTTTTCTTCCCTACTTGTTCACAAGCACTTTACCTGGAGTAGTTGCCATATTGTACCCCTGGCCTTCACCATCAGACTCTGAAGCAGTGTAGCTCCTGATTTCAGCTACCTGCAGGGGGGTTGCAAAGAGGATGGAGCTGGGCTGTTCTCAGTGGGGGCAGATGACAGGACAAGGAGCAATGGGCTCAGGTTGCAGCAAGGGAACTTGAGGTTGGATATCAGGAAAAACCTTCTCACCAGGAGAGTAGTAAGGCACTGGAACAGGTTACCCAGAGCGGTTGTGGACTTTCCATTCTCAAAGGTTTTTAAGACCTGGCTAGACAAAGCCCTGGCTGGGATGATGTAGTTGGGGCTGGTCCTACTTTGAGCAGGGGTTTGGACTGGATGTGACGTCCTGAGCTCCCTTCCAATCCTAGTTGTCTATGATTGTATAAAGTGCATTGTTTATAAATTTAAACACTGAGGAAATAAAGGGTTTAAAGACTTGCAACTTGTGGAAAATGTACAGTGAATGGTAGAAATATAGTGAGGGACTAAGAGTTGGAACCTTTTCTTCCTGTAAAATACACATGCAGTCCTGCTGCAAACTGAATCCCATAGACTTTCTCTTGGTGCCTGCGACGATCCTGGAAGGGGTTCAAACTTGTATGTTACTGCACAGTATGTGCATTAGTTGCTCACAGTTACAGTTCTCAGCACTTGGTACTCTTTAATTATGCTTTCAGGGGCCTGCATGTTTGGAAGTCAATGGTGGAAATGCCAACACGTCCCAAACGACTGAATGCAGTAGCCCAGTTTGAAATCAGTTGTGTGACAGTTTGATGCTGCCCTTTGCTATGTCACATGCCAGGAGCTTTGCAGTAGTGTTTATATTAGCCAATGGTTTCCATACTCTTCAGAGGGGCCACTGTCAACCCTCAATTGCCTTTTATGATTAAACTTTTAATTGACAACACTGTCAAGGTGCCTCATCCAATCCAGGGATAAGTGGACTACCAGTGATGTGTAGACCAGTTTTGGGGAGTGCTGTATTAAACTGTCTGCATGCTGTCGCACATTCTGTCACCAGAAGTATATCTGAGTGTGATGCAGGAACCTGTATGCTTTGGTATCGTGAGCTTCAGTTATGGAATAGTGAACTTCCTAGCAATGAAGAGTAGTTTCAGATCACTAACTAACATTTTTTTAAAATTAAAGACATGAAGACAACAAAAAAGGGTTGCTGGCCAGCCATTCTCAGTGAGGGCCCAGCATAAGTTATCCCAAGCCTGATGCCAAGTGTTTCTTTCCAGAGGTGATAAAGGGTGAAAAATCCCATGTTTTGGTCATTGCTTCAGTTTACTGGATGTCTGAGCCAAACTTGATTACCGTTTGGCCCATTTTATAGAGGGAGTCAGAAATCTGGGAAATGTGTTTTGGTCATTATATTGATCTAAAGCTATAAATCCATTGTGCAGTGAAGCAGATTAACTGTGTAAGGATACGTCCCAGCACAACAGATCCACTTCACTGGGTAAAAGAGATATTATCCATTTTTCCCGATCTTGCGGGACAGCACTTGGGCATGGCTTTGCCAGTGGGGGAGCACTGAGTTTGCCTGCCTGCAGAGACATGTCCCAAGTCGGATTTACCAGGTGCTTCTGCAAGCGGAGAAACCTGGACTTTCCCCATTTGCAGAGGCATGCCCTGATGTGGGGCATAGCAACACAATATGCACCCCTGAGGAATCCCCTGCCAGGGGACTTCTGGGTCGTGCCTCTGTAAATGGTAGAGCCTGGGCAGGTGCTCCCAGGGCTTCAGGGGCCTGAGCCTGTATGCCTTTGGAATGGGAATTCCTGGGGTGTGCAGGATTTAGATCCCTGAAACTCCAGGCGTACCTGCTTGGGGTGGCTGGAGAGCATGGGCGGCCCACACTGTCCTGCCACAAAGCAAGCAGAAAATCTCTTGCAAAAAAGTGGCACGGATTTATACTACCTAAGCCACATGTTTTTGGTATTTGTGGCACATCAAGGGGCATGGACCTCTGTTTCCAGCCTAAAAGTAATTGTCAGGGCTTAGTGAGTCCTCTGTTATAGGTAAGTTTTTAATACTGTTTAAGTCTAACTATGCATAACTGTCTGTTAGGTCTCTGTTGATTTAGTGCAGTTGGTCCTGCATTTATGAGAGCAGTGCTGTGACAGTATCCCTGCCAGTGTAACACACTGGCTTTTCCTGTCTGGACTCCTCTTGAACACTGAGCTGGGTCTGGCCTGATCTAGTGTTAGGGAGTAGTAAATGGCACCACCAGACACCAAGCTGGTGTGATTCCCCGGAGCGACGTATTACAGTCTGGAGTAGAAGGGTGGTAAATACATGGCTGGCAACTCCATGCTTCAGACCTCTGTTAAGTTGAAGCATATTAGTTTGAAAAAACTGGTGCTCTAGAGCAGGGGTGGCCAGCCTGTGGCATGCAAACCATGAGTGAGACACGGCAGATCAGGGAGGGGACAAATAACATCTGCAGATTAGGTCAGGAAGCAGAGCAGCAGAATAGGTAGAGGGGATCAGAGTTTCACTGAGGGAGGATGCACTAATTTGTGACACTTGCTGAAAAGGTTGGGCCCCACTGCTCTAGTGCATGCGTGGTTTTCTTCTCCAGTGGAGGCTGTGTTGAAACAGTGAAGCAAGGAGCGTTGTTTGCCTTCTGTGTCATAAGTAGAGAGCATGAGATCATTTGGATGCCTCGCTGGGTGCTTGGGACCTGACTCAAAACCTGTTGATGTCACTAGGAAGGTTTCTTGTTGACTGCACTGGGCCTTGGATCAGGCCATTGTTGAGAGGTGTTTATAGTGGGTAATGCAGCTGCCTGGCAAATCGTGAGGCCAAAACTTTTGTTTCCTCTTTGCTTGAATCCTCTTCCTTGATTCTCATCAAGTCTTGAGTCTGGGCAGGACACACAAGGCAGATGGAAGGCAGTTAAATGGTGTTGTGAGAGAGATCCTCCATGCCTCTTGGTCTCAGGGCTGTGAACACCAGCTGCACATGTACTGTGTTCAGATATATAATGTATGAATATGGGAAGTGTAATTGCAGTCTGATGAAGATATTAGACTGACAGCACAAAATAGATGCAGAGAAACCACATTAATAATGTGCTTCATTGTACTTGTCTTGTTTTATTTATAACTCATAAATACTGCACAAACAGGTTACTAAATGAATCATGAAAACTGCAGGGTGACATCACTGCGTTCTAACTTTACGTTATTATTTGCCTCTCATTTATTTCTCCCTTACTTACGTTTTGTCAGGTTTTATATTTTTACATGTGTGTTTTAGAGGTGTACCTCTGATAATTTTTTTCAGGCTGTTCCAAGGAGCTAAAATACTGCATTTTTAGTAGAACGCATGCTACATGTGAGAGTTGTGTACATGTGATGCTGATTGACTTCAGCAGTAACAGGAGCTGAAATGGAATATTTTTATAATGGAAAGTCTTAGTAAGAGTGCAGACAACCAACGTGATAACTATGGAGTAGCCTATTCTGGATTTGACTCTGTAACAGCATCTCTGCCTTAGTTAATGAGGGAGCTTGTTTGCATTGAGCAAATAGCTATGCTAGGATGACATTGATTAGGCAGTGGACACGTGATGGATTCTGCATAGTCACTACCCCACGTAGTAAAGTCATCGCATGTTTTTCAAGGAGTGACTTGAACCCGGGTATGAATTATGTACTATGTAGTCAGGCCATGTGTTATGTATGCATCAGGTCTCTGTTGCACTTCTGCTGCATAACAACATCCTTTTACTATGTAGGAAATGTCATGTGTCCACACCCAGACCTTACTTACAAGATGCTCCTAAAACGGCTCAGGAAGTCAAACCATTCCTCTTGTTAGTGGGAAGCCTTACATGGAAAATTACTCTTGTTTCTGGAAATACAGATTTGTTTAAATTCCACTTCTCCTTTATTGATAATGTGTGTGCGCGCGAATGAAATGTGTGTGTGTGGAAAACAAAACTCTTAGGAAATTAGTTATATATCCTGAGAATTTTTTAAGTTGGGTGCTTTAAGCCTGATTCTTTAGTTCTTCTGTATTTTGATATCATGCTAATTCTTTGCTTATTTTGCTTATTTTGCAATTTCATTCCTTTTCCTCCTTTCCCTTATGTTTTAATCCTACCCCATTTTTTCACATGACAGGAAAAAGCCAGATCACATCAGGTACCAACCAGCTTCTTTTATATTTTCCCAATGTTTCTTTGGCACATAAAAGCTCTGCATTAACCCTGCATTTCATTTTGTTTACTTGCAATGGATATCAAGTGTCTTAATCTGTGAGAGCAGGAGGATTCTGCATGGGATGACAGCACAGCTGTGCTGTTCAGTGCCTTCCTTTTAACTGCTAAAAATGACTGATGCATTCATAATCCCAGAGGAGTAAAAAAACCCCTTAAATTTAGTCTCCGCTTTCAGAATTTCCTAGAGTAGATACTAAGCATGTTATCTTGTTCTCATTTAAACCCTGGTAAATCGTGCCACTGATTTGAATGGGACTGGGAGTAGAACATCAGATGCTGATGTCTCTTGATCACTTTGTTTTGTTCACCTCTGAAACTACATGATTCAGTTTGCATAATCAGGAAACAAACCAGCAAACAAAATGCTTCCTTATTTTTGAAAAGCTATAAAACTAATAGATGTTTATTGAATCATGTTAAGTTTCCTTTTCTTGTTGCTATCTTTTGTTTTCTTTTAGATCTTGGCACCTTGAAAAGACTCTTCAGTCATTTATATTCTTTTCTATTTGGCAAATACTGACTTTTTTCCTGCCCCCCGCTCCTCCTTCCCACTTCTTTTTTGGATAAAATGAAGTGGCATTAGCTTTATTAGAAACTCTGGATGATATAGAAGTCTTTGTCTAAAAGTCTGCTTTGTGCACCAGTACAGCATTAGTTAAGTGCTATCATAGAGCCAATAGGAGTGGCACAATTGACTTTACTGCCCCATCAAATACAGACTTGTCTCTCTTCTGATGATAAATGATTTATTTAAGTGCATTCCTGGTAATACTTGGCTATGACAGCAAAGTTGTCCCCAGCCTACTTATGGGGATTAATCCTAAAAACATAGCAAGTTTCATCCCAGTAATATAGGAACTGAGGAACAAAGTGCTGGGCCATCAAGGACTTATTTGAGCTCGTTCCTAGCCCACAATCTCTTCCAGGTTAATTGGAAAGCAGAGGAGTTTCCTAGTCAGATTTGATCAGTTTACAATAGGTGATGAAATCTCAATTGTTAAAATCACATATAGTAGTGGTTTTAATCCATTGCAACATTTAGGTGACAGTTTTGTTTAAATACATATAATAGTAATACATTCACACACATTTGTCTTAGATTTGTAGTTAATTTACAGTCAAATTAATGAGTGTGAACTGCAGGGTATACTAAATAAAGTATGACGTTTTCAGCAAATTTTACTCCTTGTCTTTTTTTAAAAATCTTAAACTAATAGGTTTCTTTAAATAGATCAGCTCTTTACCAAAAGAAGTCATGGAGCAATATGAAAAACCTCATGGAAAAGATCTCAGATGTGCCATGAATTTGTTGTACGTTACATTACAGATGCTTTATGCTTGCCAGGTTGGAGTTCACTCCCTGTAGTGACTCCCTAAATATTTAACTATAACAGCGGAGTGTGTTGGATTAATAGAACATCATACCTTTTATGTAATGGTTATTACTAGAAGTTTGCTCCATTGCATGTTATCTCTCGTGGCAGGGCTGCATTTTTCCTTTTGTCTTGTGGGCTGCTTTCCTGGCCTGTAACTAGCATATGTATAACAGCAAAGAATAAGCCTGGTTTTATCTTTCTTTTTCAGCCTGCTTTGTAGCACAACTATTGATTTTTATTTCCTAGAAATAATCTACACCATGCTTGATTAATACATTCCTTCTAGATGGTAAAGGTAATACCTTTTAAATGCTGTGACCAAAACTAAGCTGTAGTTAATAAGTGCTTGGGAAAAAACATGATAAAGGCCTTTCTATGTTGGATCCAATTTTCTGAATCCACATTGAGCGTGGTATTTTATTGTGTTGAAGACCCTGTTTTAGTGGCAATCCTCTTTTAAAATGAAGTATAATTCCACAACGTTTGGAAATACGATTATTAAAAGGTAGAATCTCATCTGACTACCAACTAAGTACTAACTGTTTTAACTTCTACTAAACTTTCCGACATGGGCCTGAATTTTCTTTTCTTAAGTCTTGTTTTCCTCTTTGTGTGCTTCCTTTTACGAAGGGCTTGTGGTGATTGATTACATGGGATGTTTTGTTGCTAGTTCTTGTGCATTGCAATTCAATATTAATATTATGAGTAATGTAACCTTACTATTTTCAGGAGTCTCTTACTTAACAATGCCCTCATGCAAACTGACAGTGCAAAGTAATGAAGTTCTGTATGCCCTGTGTTTGTGGTAACAGCCGTAATATGACATTATAAGCCACAGGCATGTATTAACATGCATAAGTGTTCAACAACTTTGAGTCAGAACTCCAAAAAACCCCAGTGTGATTGGCATTTTGGGGTTCTGTTTCCTTCCCTCCCTCACTGTTTTCCAGTCCACAGTGTGCGTTCACCTTTTTTTTACTGCAAATATGAGTGTTAGGAACATGTCTTAAAAGAAATGAACCTGGGGTGGTCATGCAGCCTCTTGACTTCAGCATCTGGGCCTTTAAGAAACAACAAATACTGGGAGACTTGCAGTTAAAAATTGCAAGAGGTATTGACACTGCTGTCATTTTAGCACCCAGTAAGTTAATTTCTAAAACCTCTCTTGAAAGTATTTGTGAATAAGGAGTCCAGGTATTACTGGTAAACAAACAAAGTAGGGTTAAATACCCATTTCAGACTTTTAGCTTGCCATGAATATGTGGAAATAATGTTCTTTGGAATTAAACATTTTGTAATGAATAGTTTACTAATACGGTGATAACATGAATGCATTTATTTAAGACTCAAATTATTTAAAATTTGCTTTATTTCTTTTGTTGTGTGTTTTCTCTTACATTTTCACTTTTTCAACGAAAGCAACTTACATATCCTTGTGCAAACTTGTCAAAACTTACCAAAGCATAACTTTTGTGAATCTTTTTTTGTAATGTATTGCCATAGATTATGTGTTAGTACACTATGATCAGTAAGCACTGTAAAATCCGTGACATATTGTTTGGATGTCTTTTTATTTAAATAGGCGCTGGTTCTCAATACAAAATAATCAGCTTGTGTACCAGAAAAAATTCAAGGTAAGTACTGTACTTCCATTAATAAAAAGGGCATCAGTGGGAATTAGGGTGGGCTGTTTGCTAGAGCATGGGAATGAGGACTGAGAGGTGCTGCCGCTGACCTGCTGAGTTACTGAGCAACCCACTTATTTCCCAGCCTCAGTTCCCCCATATGTACTGGGGACAAGACCTGTTTTTGCAAACTGTTTGAGATTCCTGTCTGACAGATAACTCATAAGTTTATTATTTTTGCTGATCCTGGTAACACCTCATAGGTAGGGGCACATCTCAAATGAGCCCACAGTGGCTGGAAATTCACATTTCCCTGAAAGCAGAGTTGCTTTGAAATTTCATACAGGATTAGGTTTTGTTCCCTTTAAATTTCCTTTGCAGTTTTTTTTCCTGAGTTCTCTTGAAAATTGTAATAAGAAGTCTTTGAATTTGGAACTTAATCAAAATATACCATTTTAGAATTGTTGCCTGATACTCCTTTAAAAAATATTGTCTCTTGGTAAAACTTGGCAGTGGCGTGGCTTCTGGGAAAGTCTTAATCCTGAACATGTAAGCTGTGCACAAAAACCTGATTGCTTTGGGGCCGGGAACAAGTAAGTCTGACTGGGTCATAAGGGCAGGTGAACATAACATCCTCTGTCGAGTGTTAGACTCCTAACGTTTTATCCTTTGACAGAAGGCATATGAAAGCTTGTGCTTAGCTACTGGTATGTGCAGTGCTGTCAACTGATAATTAGGACTGTATGAAGCTTCGGTCCCTGATTCGGCAGAGATTTGGCCCGATTCAGTGGCTGAATCTCCGAATCTGAATAGAATCAGAGGACCCTTTAATCTCTCTGAATCAAATCAGAAAGATTCAAAGATTTGGACATAGGAGCTTGTGAATGCTGCGATGCTGGGGCACGTGGAGGGCCCCCCTGCACTCCTGTGGGATGCTCCATGCGCCCCAGCATCACAGCGATCATGAGTCATGCCTGCTACCTCAAGTGTGTAGAAAAAACTTTTAAAGCCGTGTCTGTCCAAATTGCTGATTCTCCTAATCGGCATTGAATCTCCAGATTCGGATTCGGCCAAATCGAATCGGGAACGGTGATCCAAATGGATTCATTGAATCATTATCCCTGATTTGGGCCGAATCCGAATCAAATAGGTCCCGCTTCGCACACCCCTACTGATAATATATCCCGTGCTACTCTGTGATTAGCTGCATTACACCCTGAAGGTCTGCTCTGTCCACATGTGCTGATGCCCCCCTCAGACTTAACATTTAAAAGAACCTTGAGAGTGAATGTACAAAATCTCTGTTGTAAAGCAGTTCAGGGTGCTACATAAAACATGCCTGACAAACCCACAGGACCAAGGCCCACAGCAATACGTAGCTTATCTCTTCCATGCTCAAAAATACCACAAGTTCCTTATGCAGCAGGACAGGCACTGCAGCTTTAGCTCTGTTTCGGGCTGGGGAGACCAGCCTTCTTTCATTCCCTTTGACACCCCCTTGGCAAGCGTGCTGTTAACCAACAGCTCAGTCCCAGGACCATCAGGGATTAAATGGTAAAAGACTGTCTAGAGAAGGGCAGAGTAAACCTGAGGAGTGTAGCAATTTGGCGACACGTTCAGTGTCTCATCTCGTCTCTGGCAGGGGCAAGCCCACGGGGTTTTAGTGTGTGGTCTGATAATGGCGAGGTGTGTACTTGTAGCTGGGAGAGGAGAGGGTATAAATTGTTACGGGGTTTAACTTCTGTAGGTCTGTCTTCAGTGTAGCGGGGTGTATATATTTGTACATGACAATGCCAACGGCATCTTCACAGCTTTTTGTGCACTAATTTGTCCTGAACAGTCTTATGACAAATACACTTTTCGAAAACCCAAAATAGGGTGGGCTTTTTATAGATCAAATTTATTAAAACTTTCTTAACCCAACCTCTGAATTTGCATTTGGGTTGAAGTGAGGGCCTTTTAAATGGGGAGCTCTGACTTTGGGTTGCAAACTGATCCTGTATCTTCCTAGAAAACCCAGTGGTACTCATTTGAGAACTATGCTGCTTAGCTGAACAACAACTAAAATCTAATCAATTCTGTTCAAGTGAAAAGGGTGTTCTCCAAGGCCAGCGTTACATTTCTGTGCATATTAATATTTAACTATGTACGTCCACCAGCACTATCAGATGTCTACTTACAATAGATTAGGTTTTAAGCCCTTGGAACAAATCTTGTATGAAATAATAAATAAGTAAATAAAAAGAAATAAATCCGTTGAGACTAGCAGAAACTTGATCTTCTCCCTCCATGCTCTAAAACTTGGACTTGTTTTATTCACTCTGTCTTTCCAGGATAATCCTACAGTAGTTGTTGAAGACCTGCGGCTTTGTACCGTTAAGCACTGTGAAGACATAGAAAGACGTTTCTGTTTTGAGGTGGTCTCCCCAACAAAGTAAGAAGTAGTCTTCAAATCTCTTACGTTACTGTTGCAGCCTCGAAAGATGAGGCCTGCATCTCTTGGGAGCCGTTGCAGTAGGAAAGGACCTAAGCAGCTTGATTGGTTAAGATCTGAGAGCAGGAGTGTGCGATGCTGCAAGCAGTTTTTTATCACTTCTTTAAATCTCCAAAATCACCTTCGTTGGAATACAGTTATTTCTTTGGCAGAACTGTAATCTCTCTTCCGAGGCTGATGTCTTGCTCTATTTAGGAGGTCGTACACGCGAATGGGAGGTGAGGGGGCAAAGCTAGAACTTCAGATTAAACTGGCCTGTGGCTTCATGGAGTCTCATACCCATTGGTCATCATTTAGGTTTAAATGGTTTTGAGGCAGGGAATATCTTCATTCTGTTCTTGTGAAAGGCAGTCCACATTGTTAGTTGTCAGTGTGTAATTTTAGCACTCTCCTGAATAACATTTATGGAATGATGCACTAAGGTTGATAAGTAGGTATTTGCGTAAGGGGTTTTGATTTTGAATAAGTGAGTCTGTCCTTTACTCTGATCCTGTTGGTCAGTTTGTCTGAATCTCAAAGTTTACTTCTCCTTTGTTGTAGAAGCTGCATGCTCCAGGCTGACTCTGAAAAGCTGCGGCAAGCGTGGATTAAGGCTGTTCAGACCAGTATTGCTACAGCGTATAGAGAGAAAGGAGATGAATCCGAGGCAAGTAAATAACTGGGCTCTGAAAGGAAAATAATAATAGAATGAATCATTTCTTATCCTTTTTTTAACAACTTCTAAGCACTTGGATGAATTGCAGTGATTTTCATTTTTTTTAAGACTTCCATTGAATGGACTTTCCATCTAGCTATGGTTGTTTTGAATCTTTTTTTTTTTTTTTTTTT